CTATGGTGATAATGATGATGACTCAGAGATTGCAAAAGTTTTTTTTTCTGATGATGATGACTCAGATCTGTCAGTCAGCATGGACGAGACACTATGCAATAATTTCACATATTAATATTATTACTAAATCAAAGTTCATGGTAGCCTTTATTTTTCTCTTGAGGATCAATTGCTAATTTAGAAAATGTAAAAGTTCCAAATGTGAACTGTTTAAAACGTCTCGCCTGCCCCCTACCCTAAACTTTGGACTTAGGGTCGCCCTCACTTTTAAATGATTTGAAGACACACAACAACAATCCTAATTATTAACTTGACTATCTCATCAGGCAAAAGCAGGCTCACAATTCCCATTGAAATATTGGTAATTTTATGATGATTAAAATTGTTCTTCATTTTTAATATTGTATTGTTCTTCTTGGGGTCGCGGTGGCGCAATGTGTTAAACCACTAAGTTGCAGAACTTGATGACTGGAAGGTTGCCGGTTCGAATCCACAGGACAAAGTGAGCTCCCATTGTTAGCCCCAGCTTCTGCCAACCTAGCAATTTGAAAACTTGCAAATGTGAGTAGATCAATAGGTACTGCTTTGGCAGGAAGGTAATGGTGCTCCATGCAGTCATGCCAGCCACATTATCTAGGAGGTGTCTACGGACAACGCTGGCTCTTCAGCTTAGAAATGGAGATGAGCAACACTTCTCAGAATTGGACTCGACTAGACTTAATGTCAAGGGGAAAGCTTTACATTTACTATAGTTCGGCCTTTATTTTTTGCACTACAAATAAGATATTTGCAGTGTGCATATGAATTTGTTAATTTTTTTCAAACTTTAGTCCAGCCCTCCAACAGACCGGGGGCCCATGAACCTTAAACCTTAAAAAGTTTGAGGACCCCCGATATACCATCATCCTGACTTGTAGCGTTTATGCCTCTGTCGTTCATGAATGAATTCAACCCTCTTTTAAAGCAGAGGGCAGCCCTTGCTATATCTTGTGGCCATGAGTTCCACAGTTTTCAGTCACAGTGGCGTGGTTGTGATACTTTCAAAGGGATCACTGCTTTGTAATTGTAGAACTAGGATGAGCAAAGAGGAACTTAAAAGACACCGAGAAATAACAAGATTGTGTGAGAGAAAGCAAGCCGTTCCTGTTTCTCAATAGCAGTTCAGTGGGTAGTTTTGAAATGGATGAGCTTGTCACAACAAACTGCGTAGCCACATCCTCAAAGAATGGCCAGAAAATACAGGCAGGTGTGTTGATCAACAACTTCGTTTTGGTAGTTTATCCCAACCTAAAGGAAGTCTTTTAAAAAGTTAAAGGGTCCTAATGGTTCTTTTAAGACCAAGCCTCGTCAAAATACTCTGCAATGGGATTTGACCATTTGGTTATTGGGTTGCTGTGAGTTTTCTGAGCTGCATGGCTATGTTCCAGAAGCACTCTTCTGATGTTTTGCCTTCACCTTTGGCAGGCATCCTCAGAGGTTGTGAGGTTTGTTGGAAACAAGGCAAGTGGGGTTTATATATTTGTGGAATGTCCAGGCTGGGAGAAAGAACTCTTGTCTGTTGGAGGCAAGTGTGGATGTTGCAGTTGGCCACCTTGATTAGCACTGAAAAACTTAGCAGCTTCAAACTTGGCTGCTTCCTGCCTGGGGGAATCCTTTGTTGGAATGCTTCTGGAATACGCCATACAGCCCAGAAAAATCACAGCGACCCAGTGATTCCAGTCATGAAAGCCTTCGACAACGCAAACACTACAGGGATGTTAACCCTTCTCTAGGCTATCCAAAGCTCTCTCTCTCTCTCTCTCTCTCTATATATATATATATGGCTGGAGTTACACTTAAAATGTACCTGTTCCCACTTACAAATTCAACTTAAAACAAACATATAGAACCTATCTGATTTGTAACTTAGGGACTGTGTGTACATTTGTTTTTACATAGTGGTTGGAGCTCTGTGGTTTTTACCCCATTTGGATCCCCAGATGTTATTGAACGACAACTCCCTCTTTTTATTGTATTCTGAAAAGTCTTTAAATATATATATATATTAAAAAAAACTTAAAAAAAACCCAGTTTCTGAAGTATAGCAACTACTTTCAAAACAATTACACAACAATTAAACAGGAAATAAAATTTTCAAACCAGGAATAGATTTTTTTCCCTCCAGATTTTGTTAGATAGTGTTATCTGCTATGAGGACTGGGGATAATGGGAATTGCAACGTATTAAAATAGGCCTGACTAAAACTATACTATGCCCCTGTGTTTCAGAGGTGGGGGAAATTTCTAAGGGATTTTCTCCCACAAGCCTTTTATCTCATTCCAAACCCCACTCTCCTGTTGAAACAGAGCAAACTGTTTCATCTGACCAAGATGTACTGTATCACAACTTCCAGCTTTGGTTATAATGTCTAATTTATGAAGAAAACAGGACTTGTTGTTGTCGTCCAGCATCGGGAGAGAGCCACATAAAAAGACAGAACAAAGCCAGGGCCTCCTTAATAACAATAACAGCAATAGCAGCAGCAACAACAACAACAACAACAATAATAGCGAACTGCAAAGACCCTGGCACAAACCAGTAAAGGTGGTCCCAGTGGTGATTGGCACACTGGGTGCAGTGCCTAAAGACCTTGGCCTGCACTTAAACACAATTGGCACTGACAAGATTACCATCTGCCAGCTGCAAAATCCCAGCCAGCTGTTGGGATCTGCACGCATTATTCGCCAATACATCACACAATCCTTCCATCTTGCCCTTGGTCGGTCCCTCTTCCTTTTTCCTTCCATTTTCCCCAGCATCATTGTGTTCTCCAAACTTTCCTTTCTTCTCATGATGTGGCCAAAGTACTTCATCTTTGCCTCTAATATCCTTCTCTCCAGTGAGCAGCCAGTCATTATTTCCTGGAGTATGGACTGGTTTGATCTTCTGGCGGTCCAAGGCACTCTCAGAACTTTCCTCCAGCACCACAGTTCAAAACCGTCTATCTTCCTTCGCTCAGCCTTCCCTATGGTCCAGCTCTCACATCCATAGGTTACTATGGGGAATACCATTGCTTTAACTATGCGGATCTTAATAATAATAATAATAATAATAATAATAATAATAATAAGTGCAAAGACTCTGGCACAAGCCAGTAAAGGTGGTCCCAGTGGTGATTGGCATACTGGGTGCAGTGCTTAAAGACTTTGGCCTGCACTTAAACACAATTGTCGCTGACAAAATTATTTATTTATTTATTTATTTGGTTTACTTTTACCCCGCCCTTCTCACCCCGAAGGGGACTCAGGGCGGCTTACACATCCAAGGCACAATTCGATGCCCATAACATACCACAGCGATAAAACAAATAACACAATTTAACAATCAACAGCTATACATTACATCTATACCCGTTAAAACCATTAAAACCAATAAAAATTTCATACAAACCGATACAAACCAATTACTCCTTATTGCCGGTCAATGTTCGCTATCTCATAGTTCAGAGTTTCCTTCCACATTTATCCGTCCTGCCGGTCCTGTTTGTCTGGTTGTCCTTACCTAGTTAGCAGATTGCCCGAAGGCCTGGTCCCACAACCACGTCTTTACCCTCCTCCTGAAAGACAGGAGTGATGTCGATGTCCTGATATCCACTGGGAGTGAGTTCCACAGGTGAGGGGCCACCACTGAGAAGGCCCTGCTCCTTGTCCCCACCAGCCTCACTTGGGAAAGCGGTGGGGTCGAGAGCAGGGCCCCCTCAGATGATCTTAAATTCCGTGGTGGGACGTAGAGGGAGATACGTTCGGACAGATACGCTGGACCGGAACCGTACAGGGTTTTGTAGGTCAAAACCAGCACCTTGAATTGGGCTCGGAACTGAACCGGCAGCCAGTGGAACTGACACAGCAGAGGGGTGGTGTGCTCTCTGTATGTCGCCCCGGTGAGCAGCCTAGCTGCCGCTCGCTGAACCAGTTGAAGTTTCCGAACCGTCTTCAAGGGCAACCCCATGTAGAGTGCGTTGCAGTAGTCTATTCGGGATGTAACAAGAACGTGGACCACTGTGGCCAGATCAGACTTCCCATCTGCCCATCAAATTACCCATCAAATTACCATCTGCCAGCTGCAGACGGCCACCTTACTGGGATCTGCACGCATTATTAGCCGATACATCACACAGTCCTAGATACTTGGGTAGTGTTCAATGTGTAATCCAATGCAACAGCCAGCAGAGTGATCTTGTTTGCTGTGGACTCATCTTGTTGTGTTTCTATTAATAATAATAATAATATATTATTATTATTATTATTATTATTATTATTATTTTAACTCTACATTTGGCCTTTCCACTGTTTTTAATTGTGTGTTGTCTTATTGATAATGTTGTGTATTTTATTGTCTATGTTTTTTAATTGCTTGTATTGTTGTTTTATTGCTTGTATTGTTGTGTTTGGGCTCGGCCTCATGTAAGCCGCACCGAGTCCCATGGGGAGATGGTAGTGGGGTACAAATAAAGTATTATTATTATTATTATTATTATTATTATTATTATTATTATATTTTGAACCTGCCCTCTCTCCCCGAAGGGATGCAGGGCAGCTTCAAATACAAAGGCAAATATTCAATGCCATATTTCAGTGTTTCTCAACCTGGCTGGGACCCTTGGGGGGAGGGGATTGTGAGAGGGTGTCAGAGAGGTCACCAAAGACCATCAGAAAAGACAATATTGTTTGTTGTTCTGTGTGGGAAGTTTGGCCCAATTCTATCATTGGTGGAGTTCTAGAGGCTCTTTGATTGTAGGCAAAATATAAATCTCAGCAACTACAACTCCTAAGGTCGACTTCCCCCAAACTCCACCACTGTTCACATTTGGGCATTGCCATAAACAGTCATAAAAACACTGCACAATAAAATTCCCTCGGCAGCAGGTGGAGCAGGCGACAGAAAGAGCAGCCACAGCCCAAGAGCGAGGCTCAGTTCCTCCGCCTTCCTTCCTTCCTTCCTTAGCGGCACCTAGCGGCGAGGAGCGGGAAGCATAAGCAGCGCCGCAAAGGAGAGACAGAAGGGGAAAGGAGAAGCAGGCAGAGCGTGGCAGAGCGCTTGTTCTGCCGAAGGAGCGGATTTGGGGGGAGAAAGACCCTCTTTTCCCCCCTTCCTCGCCCTTCCTAGCCAGCAAGACCCTTCTTGCGACCGACATGGAGCCCGCAGCCAGGAAGAACAAGGCGGAGGAGGGCGAGCAGCCACAGCAGCAGCAGCAGCAGGAAAAGGAGGAGGAGGAAGAAGTGGACCCCCGGATCCAGGTAAAGGGGAGCGGGAAGGGGCTGCAGAGGACCCCTGAAGGCGACCCTTTCCCAATGGCTGCTTGCTGGGTGTGTTTTTGCGGCAGTGTCAGGGTTTGGATGAGCCTCCCCTTTCTTCTCCCCTTGCAGCCGCGTGCCAGTCCAGCCCAGTCTCTTGCCTTGGGGGCGTCTCCCTTCTCCCCCATTCTCTCCCTTTCTGGGGTTCAGGAAAGGAAGCCCCTCCAGTTATTTTGGACTTCCAACGGCTGTTAGGAATGGTGGGAGTCTAAGTCCAAAACCCCTGGAGGGCCCAGGTTTGCCCAGGCCTGGTGTAGATCCACTTAAGGTGCTTAGGCGTTAATAGGCAGCAAGCCTCATCACCAATGCCTCTTCCTTCTATCTTCTATCTCTCTATCTCTCTATCTAAAAATGTAATGTTCGTTTGTGGGGTTAACATAACTCAAAAACCACTGGATGAATTGCCACCAAATTTGGACACAGTATACCCACTACCCCAAGGAGTGACCATCACTCAAAACAATGGATTTTGTATTTTGGGATTTGTAGTTGCTGGGATTTACAGTTCGCCTACAATCAAAGAGCATTCTGAACTCCACCAATGATGGAATTGAACCAAACCTGGCACATAGGACTCCCAAAACCAACAAAAAATTCTGGAAGGGTTTGGTGGGCATTGACCTTGAGTTTGGGAATTGTAGTTCACCTACATCCAAATGTAATGTTAGTTTGTGGGATTGACATAACTCCAAAACCACTGGACGAATTTACACCATATTTGGACAGAATACGCCTAACAACCCAATGAGTGGCCATCACTCAAAGACTCCCAAAATCAACAAAAAATTCTGGAAGAGTTTGGTGGGCATTGACCTTGAGTTTGGGAATTGTAGTTCACCTACATCCAAATGTAATGTTAGTTTGTGGGATTAACATAACTCCAAAACCACTGGACGAATTTACAACAAATTTGGACAGAATACGCCTAACAACCCAATGAGTGGCCATCACTAAAAAAAAAAAATGATTTTGTCATTTGGGAGTTGTAGTGGCTGGGATTTATAGTACACCTACAATCAAAGAGCATTCTGAACACCCCCAATGATGGAATTGAACCAAACTTGGCACATAGGACTCCCACAATCAACAAAAAAAATTCTGGAAGGGTTTGGTGGGTATTGGCCTTGAGTTAGGGAGTTGTAGTTCACCTACATCCAGAGAACACTGTGGACTCAAACAATGATGGATCTGAACTAAACTTGGCACAAATACTCCATATGCCCAAATATAAACACAGATGGAGTTTGGGGAAAATAGATCTTGACATTTCGGAGTTGTAGCTGCTGGGATTTATAGTTCACCTACAATCAAAGAGCATTCTGAACCCCACCAACGATAGAATGGGGCCAAACTTCCAACACAGAATCCCCATGACTAACAGAAAATACTTAATGCCATCCAATCCAACTCCCTTCACCAGGGCAAGAAAACGTAATCAAAGCCCTCCTGACGAAGAGCAATCCAGCCATAGATATAGATAGATATGATTCACACACACACAGACATAGTATCATAGATTTGAAAGGGACCCCTAAAGAAGGACAATTATATGTTGCATGTTCCAGAGTAGGCAAACCAGACAATCTCTGCATCAACACTGACAAAGAAACAAGAAATACTATTTACCCACAAGCAGAAAGAAATTATATATATTACAAACCAACACTTTCTCATTACTTTGTTGTTCAGATCACCATATTGGGCCACAGCAATGCGTAGCAGGGGACAGCAAGTCTATCTTTAAATAAAAATGTATTGTTCGTTTGTGGGATTAACATAACTCAAAAACCGCTGGACGAATTGACACCAGATTTGGATACACGACACCTATCAGGCCAATGAGTAACCATCACTCATAAAAACATTGAAAAATCAGAGTGTAAAGGACTTAAAAATCCAAAAAATATATAATTCCTTTACAACGCATGTGCAGAACCACACACATATATATGCAAACATATGTATACACATATATACAAATATATATACACATAAAACACATATACATAGACATGGCCACAGCAATGCGTGGCAGGGGACGGCTAGTAGCAGTATAAAATGTCACCACAACAGCTTGTCACAATGCTTGAAATCTGCAGCCTGAAGCAGCCGCCTCACCCGGGTCGGCTGCCCTACAAAGTGGACTTTTGTTGGAAATGGAAAGACAGAGAAGGTTAGAGTAGGACAAAAGAGATGCCACGTCTGTAAGGTGCCCTACAAGAACATTTGAAGGTAGCGCATGTATTTGTGAATGCGTATCCAAAAGAGACATGCATTGTCTTGCATCCAAAGTAGATATACACTTGGGAACAGGTGTAGTGGAAACTCAAGAGCATCACAAGTGATGAAATGCATGTAATGGTGTAACAACTATTTATTTATTTATTTACGGCATTTATAAACTTGTAGTTTCTCACCCCAAAGGGGACTCTGAGTGGCTTATAAGATATATATGTGTGTGTGTGTGTGTGTGTGTGTATACACACATACAATATATATTATTAGCATAGTACAATATCAGTATTATATATTACTATATTGTACTATACCATTATATTGTAATATTATTAGAAATATTACATGTAATATAAAACATATAATAATAATAATAATAATATATTATTATTATTATTATTATTATTATTATTATTATTATTATATTGTATTATAATATTATAATGATGTGGACCACAACTCTAGAGAACAGGATTTGAATCCCCTCACAACTAGGTGACTTTGGGCAAGTCACACTCTCTCAGCCCCAGAGGAAGGCCATGGCAAAACTCTTCTGGACAGGAGAACCCTGCAATAGATTGGTGAAAGGTTCACTGTGAAGGATCGTAATCGCATCAAATCCACCCCTTCAGTCCTAGAACGAGAGAATTGGAAGTCTTTAGTTCAGGCTTCTTATCAGTTATTGTTCATTGCCATGACACTATTCGTGTATGAGAGACGTGCCCTCCCTTTTAGCTCACCCGACCTTTCAGATTGTTTGGCCATATTGCAATTATGTGTTAATTCCCATTTTTGCCAGTTTTCGCAGAGAGCCATAACAACAACAACAACACACAGTCATAGACAATTGGGAAGTGTCGCACGTGGGATCGAATACAAAAGCCAGCATAGTAATCTTGTTTGCTGTTTACTAATCTTGTTATGTATCTAATAATAATATCTAATAATATAATATTAGATATCGTAATATATTATAATATAATATAATAATAATACGAGGATTTAAAGATCGAACTGCAAAGACTCTGACACAAACCAGTAAAAGTGGTCCCAGTGGTGATTGGCAGACAGGGCGCAGTGCCTAAAGACCTTGGCCTGCACTTAGAAACAATCAGCGCTGACAAAATTACCATCTGTCAGCTGCAAAAGGCCACCCTGCTTGGGTCTGCATGCATTACTAGCTGATACATCACACAGTCCTAGACACTTAGGAACTGCCCGAAGTGTGATCAAATACAAAAGCCAGTATAATGATCTTGTTCGCTGTGTATTAATCTTGTTATGTATCAAGTAATAATAATAATAATAATAATATATAATAATATAATATAATACGAGGATTTAAAGACCAAATTGCAGAGACACTGGTACAAGCCAGTAAAGGTGGTGCCAGTGGTGATCGGCACACTGGGTGCAGTGCTTAAAGACCTTGGCCTGCAGCTAAAAACAATCAGCACTAACAAAATTATCATCTGTCAGGTGCAAAAGGCCACCCTACTCAGATCTGCATGCATTATATGTATCAAATAACAACAACAACAATCCCACTTTATTTATAACCTGCTCTGTCTCCCTGAAGGGACTTAAATGGGACCTAGTTTTGTGGCTACTGGTGGCCATCCAAACAGGGCCCTTTGAATAGCTTTTTTTTCGAGAGGTTTGTGTGGCCTCCACCTTTGCAAGTTAAAGGATGACTTTGAGCAAGGCTTTGCACTTTATCGTTCATGTCACTCCTATCTTGTGAATTATTATCCTTATGGCTGTTTTCCTGAGTCTCTGTGGTTTTCTGAATGTCTATGTATTTTCAAATTGGCTTTTAATTTGTAAACCCTTGGCCTTGAAAATTGGCTCATGTATAATATCTATATAAATAAAAATGTAATTTTCGTTTGTGGGATTAACATAACTCAAAAACCACTGGGTGGATTGGCACCAAATTTGGACATAATACACCTATCAAGCCAACGAGTGACCATCACTCATAAAAACACTGAAAAACACTGCAGAAGAATCTTAAAAAGCCAAAAAACAAAAATTACATTACAATGCATGCACAAAACCACACACACACACACACACATATACACAAACACACATATACACATTTACACAAATATATGTACACACATATATACACACACAAAACACATATACACAGACTGGGCCACAGCAACATGTGGCAGGGGACGACTAGTTATAAAATGAAAAACAATGTCCTTGTGAATGACACTTTCCCACTGAAAATATTATATGCCTTTCTATAGTGTGGACACATGCCCCTTGGAAGGAAATAGTAACAACAACAACAACAATAACAACAATAATAATAATATCAATATCCTAGTGCGATTGGTCAGGATCATCCTCTTGTCAATTTTTACTGAGTAATATAGCTAGGACTGAAGTTAGAACACTAGCCAAGAAATGGTATTTCCGCAGAAATCAATAGTTGGAAGTAAAGGGAGAAATTAGGCAACATAGTTTTTACTAGGAATTAAAAAAAGACCTGTCTATCTCAATAGGAAGAGTTGAGATGTGAAAAAGCCATTCCGAAATGTGTTCAAATCAGCCACTGGTGGCGCAGTAGGTTAAACCCTTGTGGTCAGCAGGACTGCTGACCAAAAGGTCGGCGGTTTGAATCCAGGGAGTGGGGTAAGCTCCCATCTGTCAGCTCCAGCTTCTCATGCAAGGACATGCGAGAAATCTCCCATAGGATAGTAAAACATGCAGACATCCTCTGGGCGACGTCCTTGCAGATAGCCAATTCTCTTACACCAGAAGCTACTTGCAGTTTCTCAAGGATATAAATGTGTTTTTGCTAGAACCTGTTCGATAACAAAAAAGCAAAGTTTGAAATGCAGTTGTAAATTCATCTTTTGACATGTCTGACTAGTGCTCCTAAAAATCTGAAACATGCATTTGAAATGCCTTTTTTTGTCTCTACTTCGTGATTTCTCTTTGCCTAAGAAAACCTTTTGAGATTCATCGGGTAGCTATAAGCGGACAAATGTCTTAAATACACATACACAGTCTGTGGGAATTCAAATGTGACTCTGGTATCCTGTATTAAAGCTGATCTATGAGTCAGAACGTCACAAGCTCAAATATCTCCTTGGCCACGAACTTGAGTGACCCCAGACCAGCCATCTGTAAATGAGGACAGTAATGCTGACCTGCCTATCCAGCGTAATGTATGAGTGAAGCATGTAAATACAATAGACTCTTAGGCCCCTTCCACACAGCTGAATAAAATCCCACGTTATCTGCTTTGAACTGGAATATATGGCAGTGTGGACTCAGATATCCCAGTTGAAAGCAGATATTGTGGGATTTTCTGCCTTGATATTCTGGGTTATACGACTGTGTGGAAGGGTCTTCAGTTAACCAGGATTGATAGATAAATGTAGTTTCTGGTTGAGAGTTACTATTGAAATAGGCCTAACTAAAACCATAAAGGTAAAGGTAAATATTTCTCCTTGACATTAAGTTTAGTCGTGACCGATTCTGGCGGGTGGTGCTCATCTCCCTTTCTAAGCCGAAGATGCAGCGTTGTCTGTAGATGCTTCCTAGGTCATGTGGCCAGCATGACTGCATGGAGTACTGTTACCTTCCTACTGGAGCAGTACCTATTGATCTACTAATATTTGTATGTTTTTGAACTGCTAGGTTGGCAAAAGCTGGGGCTAACAGTGGGAGCATATCCCGTTCCCCAGATTTAAACCACTGACCTTTCGATCAGTAAGTTCAGCAGTTTCGTGGTTTAACCTGCTGTGCAACTGGACATTCCTAACTATACCATGCCATAAACTCTGTATTGACTTCATATTAATATTGAAATATGATAATTAAAAGCAAAGTAAGACAAATAATGACAAACTTCACTTCATATAACACAGTTTTTGTTCAAGAATCCCGAAAAGGCTATAGGTGTATACGCAATATTAGTAGTTAGCATACGGGATTTAGGTATCTATGGCAGGCATTTTCAGAGGTTGTGAGATCTGTTGGAATCTAGGAAAATTGGGTTTATATATCTGTGGAATGTCCAAGGTGGGAGAAAAAACTCTTGTCTGTTGGAGGTAGGTGTAAATATTGCAATTGGCCTCCTTGATTAGTATTCCACAAATATATAAACTTTATTTTCCTAGTTTCCAACATACCTCACAAACTCTGAGGATGCCTGCCATAGATGCAGGCGAAACATCAGTAGAGAATGCTTCTGGAACATGGCCATGCAGCCTGGAAAACTCAAAACAGTCCAGTGATTTGGCCATGAAGGCCTTCAACAATAGATCTTGAACCATTCACTATCACTCACACTTATCTATTTTGCAGAGCTTTTAGGATAAAACGAGGGGTAGAGGGAAAAATAATGTGCACACCCCTGAGCTTATTGGAAGAATGTAAGTTAAAATGTAATCAAATAATTTTGGAATTTAATTTTAAAACTTGCATATGCTTATGTTTTTATATGCAACACCTTGAAGTGCTTCTGTGAGCTGCCCCGAGTGCCTTCGGGGAGATGGTGGCAGGGTAGAAATACAATTATTATTATTATTATTATTATTATTATTATTATTATTATTATCATAATTTACTGACACAAAAGCACAGTACGTCACAGCAAATGAGATCTATATGCTGGATTTCGTATCACAAAACCATAAGTCAAACACTTCCCAAGCGTCTAGGACTGTGTGATGTATTTTCGAATGATGCACGGACATCCAAACAAGGCGGCATTTTGCAGTTGACAGACCATGATTTTGTCGATGTTTATTGTTTCCAAATGCCTGCTGAGATCTTTTGGCACGGCACCCAGTGCGCCTATTATTATTATTATTATTATTATTATTATTATTATTATTTGAAACACAACAAGATGAGTCCACAGCAGACAAAATCACTCTGCTGGCTGTTGTATTGGATCACACGTTGTTGTTGTTGTTGTTGTTGTTGTTGTTGTTGTTGTTGTTGTTATTATTATTATTATATAAATAAAATGTAAAAGTGGGAAAGAAAAGGAGACAATACTGAAAACTGGAATCTTAATAAACGGGAATTTGCTGCATTCTCAAACTGAGTAAGTCGACTTAGCCAACGAAAGCTTATGTTGCCAACTTTGTTCTCTAAGGTGGGTCACTTTGCATTCTGATTTTTCTGTAAATGCGCCTAGTCCTCTTAGGACCCTTTCACACAGCTATATAACCAAGAATATCAAGGCAGCAAATCCCACAATATCTGCTTTGAACTGGATTATCTGAATCCACATTGCCAAATATCCCAGTTCAAAGTAGATAATGTGGGATTTTATTCAGCTGTGTGGAAAGGTCTTTGGTTTGGTCACTTTGAGATGTGTAACACAGAAAAAAAACCCCTTTTCCAAGCTCTACACATGACCTGTACTAAAGAGAACTTCAAGTCAAACACTGTTAGAACTTGAACTAGATCAGAATTCAGATGTAACCTTCAAAAGATGTCCAAAGATGTCTTTTTCCTCTGATTGCAACAGAAGGCTTTAAGCTGCAAAAGTTCAGCCTTGCTCTCGAATGCCTTCCACCCTTCTGTTTCCATTTAACATTCCAGCTGGGGCCTCTCCGTGAAATGCCAGATGACACTGAATAACCTGACTCTTTCCCGGTTCTGTCAGTGTCTTATTTCTCAACATGTTCTCGTTCTTCTTTTTGGCTTTCTTCCAGGGAGAGCTAGAGAAGTTGAATCAATCTACAGATGATATTAATCGGAGAGAAACCGAGCTTGAGGTACTTTTCCCCCCCTTTTCCTTTTGTCTAAGTCGTTGTGTGTGTGTGTGTGTGTGTGTGTGTGTGTATATATATATGTATATATAAAATTTTAAAAATATTTTTGGTAGGAAAGATTTGTTTGCATATTTCTATTGCCCGACAAAACATTCTTAGGAAATTTGAAATATAGCTCTTTTTAAATACAAGTAACTGCATGGCTTAAGCTGGTGGATGAAGCAAAAGTAGGTCAAACATGTCCTGTTCAGTCGCTGAAATCGAATGACATTACTCTGTGTGGTGCTCTGAATTTCGTTAATCCTCTGATATATCCTACACCAAGAGATAATACTGTACATAGCAATCAAAATGGTAATTAATCCTCCATGTAGGTATGCAAACAGTGCTTTTGAATTTCCTGCAGTTCCTTTGCTGCCATTTCCAGGATCATCAGCCATCCATACCATTTGTGTTGCCCCATCTATAGTGTTGCCCCTACGACACACTTTCCTGTTGAAGTTTTTTGTAATTGTGTAATGTAGATTTCAAAATATGTCTTGTAGGTTTAAAGTGCAATGCTATGTGCCAAGAGTATTCCTGTGTGGAATGAGTTAACTGTACCATGAAGGGAACGGCATTCCTAGAGAGGTCATAAATCTAAGTGTATAGGGCAATGGACACAGCTTGTGCGTCCTACGTCATACGTCACTCTGGAATGCAGGAGGTGTGGACTAGTACTGATAACAGCGTGTTCGTGATGTAGCTGCCGAATGGAGAGGAAATTGTTTTACGATGTGCTTAGTGTGCTACTGTGTAAATAAAGTAGATTATAGCCTAAAGGTGACTGTGATGATTGTGTTCCTTGCCTTGCTGTGCAGCCGATGCCACTGTCATTTCCCATATTTAAACTGAAAGCGTTACCCCACTGTTTCATTTTCTTGGCCCCCCCTCACTTACATATTTCCTATTTCTAATTTACCCAGGGTTTTATCATTTTATCTTGTCCATTTGGCCTGCCCATCCTGTTCGATTTTATAGTGTGAATTTACTTTATTATTTCATTTTGTTATTGTAATTTATTTTCTGATGCATTTTGCTTTTTGTATTCTGTATTTTACTATGCTGTATTATATTTTAAAAGGGCTTGGCCTCATGTTAGCCGCCCCGAGTCCCCATTGGGGAGATGGTGGCGGGGTATAAATAAATATTATTATTTTATTATTATTATTATTATTATTATTATTATTGACACAAAAGCACAGTATGTCAAAGCAAACGAGATCTATATGTTGGATTTCGTATCACAAAATCACAAGTCAAACATTATTATTATTATTATTGTTATTATTATTAGGAATGCAAGTCATTAGAGAAACACAGTTGCTTCATCCATGTAATGTTTTCTCAAACTATCAAAAAAAATCCCAAGGGGCACAGCTGTTTTAATCCCGCTCCAATAGAGACATAGGTTGCATTCACAGCCCGTGTGTGAAATGCAAGGCCCACGGGCTGAATCTGGCCCACCATGTCATTATATGTCACCCAGGCTGTCAATACCAGGGCAACATAGTTACATTTATACATTGTTACAGTTACAACCGGCACTTTGAAGGCAACCATTAGGCTGATGTGGCCCTTGGTAAAAATACGTTTGACACCCCTGATCGACAATGTCGAATTAACGCAGTTTGACACCACTTTATCTGCCATGGCTCAATCCTATGGAATCCTGAGAGTTGTAGCAGCAGTATACATCTCATTATGTTAACATATGTATGCAGCAGCAGAGTAGCAAAGCACAAGGGCAGATGCCTTCTCTGTGTCTGGTTGTGACCCCCAGGTTGTGCCAGTCAGCTTTCGTATGATGTTATTTCTAGGCCCACTTTTTGCTTGATAGTCAGACAGTGCTTCTTGTAAGCCAGAGCATGGTGCAGGGTAATTCCCAGGTATTTGGGTGTGCTTCAATGCTCCAGTGGGATTCCTTTCCAGGTAATCCTCAGAGCTCAAGATGCTTGACTGTTCTTAAGATGAAAAGCACACATCTGTGTTTTAAATGGGTTAGAAATGAGCTGGTTTTCCCTGTAGTAGTAGTAGTAGTAGTAGTAGTAATACTTTATTTATACCCTGCCTCCATCTCCCCAAAGGGGACTCGGGGCGGCTAACATGAGGCCAAGCCCGAAGATACAACAAAATAAAATAAAATACAAAGCAACAAAAATTACAACACATTAAAATAAATAAATAAACAAGATAAAATAAACAGTGCAAAACAACATAATGACAAGTCAAACACAGTGGGTGGGAAGAGCACCTAACGCTCCAGAGAGCTTCTGTTCAACCATTTCAAAGCTCCCTGCTTGAGCGGTGATGGCACAATCATCAGCATAGATGAAACTCTCTGTACCTTCCGGCAGTGGCTGATCATTTGTGTAATTGTTAAATATCGACAGAGCAAGCACCCTCCCTTGAGGCAGGCCATTCTTCCGTTTTTGCCATCTGCTTCCCTGACCCTGGAACCATGTCAGTTAAAATGGTATCAAACTGCATTAATTTAACAGTGAGGTGTACCCTCAGTGTGTATCCACACCACAGTGTTACAACATTTGGGTAATGTTTTAGCTGCTGCAGCTCTATCCTTAGAATTGTGGCATTTGAGTGGTAGAACTCTCAGCTGGAGAGTTCTAGTGGTAGTTAATATACCTCTCAACCATTCCCATTTGGAAGGACATTCTTCATTCATTCTCTGTTGTCCCACATTCAGCTACTTTTAAAGTGTCCTGTTTTTTCCCCCAGTTCCTGACTCTTTCCCACTTGGTTTACATCAGTTATCGCAAATGTGAATTCAGAGTGCAAAAGTACTTTGCACTCAACTCTGTAGGTGGGAAAGAAGAGGCGGTATGAAATCTTGCCCTTCCCAATATACTTGACTAAAGATATTCTGGGGTTTTTTTCAGTGAGGTGTGTGTGCTTGTATAAGTTCAGAAGAATGGACTTGAGATCTGGTATTAAACTTTTATATCTATGTTGTGCATTCTAATAATTCTGATTTAGAATCTTCTTGTATCTTTACATCTCAATCTGAAATCAAAATCTTTTAGAATACGAATTTAGGTCTCTTCTACACTGCCATATAATCCAGATTATCAGAGTAGATAATCCATGTTATCTGCTTTGATGTGGATTATATGAATCTACACTACCATATAATCCAGTTCAGAGCAGATAACCTGGATTTTATGTGGCAGTGTAGAAGGGGCCTTAGTTGTAGTGTATCAGCTTGAAATGGGACGTGTAAATGAGCGAAGTTGAAGGTGGTACAGTTATACCTTAGCAAAAGAATGTTAAGTAGTTGCTCTAAATTGTATTATGTAAATGTTTTTAGGGCTATCTCCCTGCAAAGAAGGCATTCTTTCAGATATTGTTGAACTTTGTAGGGTTAAATATAAGGAAAGCATGTGCTGTTCTCTACATTGTTATAAATATTTGGATGAAATATTTGGATGAAATATTTGAATAAAACACTTAAAGCTTTTAATGAGTTTTAATATAAGGATTAAATCAAATGTGCCAAATTAGATAATGCTATTTAGAGAACTGGAAAATGTTTCATTTGTTTTCCCCCAGAACATCACTATTGCTGTTTACTTGGTATTTCAAAATAGTGATGATTTTTAACAAAATAGATCTCTAGTGGCCCTGAGTCGCCTTTGGGCTGAAATGGGCGGGATAGAAATAATGTAAATAAATAAATAAATAAATAAATAGTGGCTGTGGTGGCTCAACGGGTTAAACTATTGAACTGTTGAATCCGCTGACCTAAAGGTTGGCTGTTCAAAGCCGCAAGTCATAGTGACCTCCCCCTGTTAGCCCTAGCTCCTGCCAACCTAGCAGTTCAAAAACATGCAAATGTGAGTAGATCAATAGATACAGCTTCGGCGGGAATGTAATAAAGGAGCCCATGCAGCCGTGCCGGCAAAAAACAACCAGGAGGTGTCTATGGAAAATGGGCTCCTTAGCTTGGAAATGGAACAAAAGCACCTCCCCGTGGCCAGAGTTGAGCACTGCCTCCAGAAAGCCGGAGATGAAAGGGGAAGCCTTTACCTTTGTTCTGCGTATTTGTATGTCATTGTTATTTCCACTGTGTTAAGGGCATTGAATGTTTGCCTATCTGTGTATGTTGTAATCTGCTCTGAGTCCCTTTGGGGAGATAGAGTGGAATATAAATAAAGTGTTGTTGTTATTATTATAATATTATTATTATATAAAGTAATGTATCAGTAAAATAATAATATTATATTATTATTTTACCGATATATTACTTTATATAATAATAATAATAATAATAATAATAATAATAATAATAATAATAATAATCTTTATTTAATACCCCGCCACCATCTCCCCAATGGGGACTCGGGGCGGCTTACATGGTTATAGTATTATAGTATCTCTCAGCTGACAGGTGGCAGTTTGTAATAACATTTAATTTTCTCAGGAGAAAACATGGCAATTGTATAGGCAAATTTCAATGTTATACAATTTATACAACTTTGTGCCATCTACTATATCCATCTATGCTGTTCACTTCAATCCTTTTAAATCCCACTTCTTCCTATTTGGAAAGAGATTCTTGCTTTGATACTCATTTCCTGTCACTTGACATTTAAACTTTTATCCTGGTTTCCCAGCTGACGGTGGTCATTCTTGTCAGACACTGTCGTCAGGGACTTTGCAAAGGGCAAGAGTCTATTTGGGAAACTCGCCATTTCAGATGAACGGTCTCTCATATGTCCTGTGGGTACTGATCATCACAAAGGGCAATTGAGGACATGCCCACTTGTCGTTTGGGGATAGCATGATGTTGTTTTTATCTGAAAGAACAGTCACGTGAAAGTGCTGTTCTGTTATTTTGATCCTTTAAGTTGTTCCTGAGTTAGGGCAACCCTAAGGTGAATTTGCCACAGGGTGTTCCTTGCAAGATTTGTTCAAAGGAGGTCTGATTTTGCTTCCTTCTAAGGTTG